TCACTCAATGCTGTGCTGAATGATGCTGAGGAAAAACAGATCACTGATCTTGCAGTGAGGGCATGGCTTGATAAGCTGAAAGATGCTGTCTTAGATGCGGAGGACTTGTTGGATGAAATCAACACAGATTCTTTGAGGTGCAAGGTGGAGGGAGAATCTAAAACCTTCACTACCCAGGTCAGATCATTCCTTTCTTCTCCCTTTAATCAATTTTATCGGAGCATCAATTCCAATCTTGAAGCAATATCTACAAGGCTAGAACATTTTGTGAAACATAAAGATATTCTTGGTTTGCAAAGTGTTTCTAGGAGAGTATCTTCCAGAACAGTTACAGATTCATTGGTTGAATCAGTTGTTGTTGCAAGGGAGGATGACAAAGAGAAGCTACTGAGAATGCTTCTATCTGATGAAGATGGGAAGAACAATCATATAGAAGTGCTGACAATATTGGGCATGGGTGGTCTTGGAAAAACAACCCTAGCTCAATGTCTTTATAATGATAATGCAGTGCAGAAACATTTTGATTTGACAACTTGGGCATGGGTATCTGATGATTTTGATGTGTTTAGAGTTACGAAGACTATTGTTGAATCTGTCACTTCTAAAAAGTTTGATAATACTAATTTAGATGCACTTCGGGTTGAATTGAAGAACAACTTAACTGATAAAAAATTCTTGCTTGTGCTGGATGACCTTTGGAATGAAAAATACAATGACTGGAATCATTTAATAGCACCTTTTACCAGTGGAAAGAAGGGAAGTAAGATCATTGTGACAACCCGACAACATAGAGTTGCACAAATAACACACACATTTCCCATATGTGAGCTGAATCGTCTAACAGATGAAAATTGTTGGTGCATACTTGCAAAACATGCATTTGGAAATGAAGGATTCAACAAATATCCAATGCTAGAAGAAATTGGTAGAAGAATTGCAAGAAAATGCGATGGCCTACCACTAGCAGCTAAAACATTGGGAGGTCTTTTGAGATCAGTTGTTGATGTAGAGGAATGGAATAGAATTCTGAACAGCAACTTATGGGCACATGACGATGTTACACCTGCTTTACGCATAAGTTATCTTCATCTTCCGGCACATTTGAAAAGATGTTTTGCTTATTGCTCAATTTTTCCCAAACAACATTTGTTGGATAGGAAGGAATTGATTTTGTTATGGATGGCTGAAGGCTTTCTTCAACAAATCCATGGAGAGAAATCATTGGAATCAGTAGGTGATGAATGCTTTAATGAATTATTATCAAGATCTTTAATTGAAAAAGACAAAGCTAAAGTAGAGGAAAAGTTTCGAATGCATGATCTCATCTATGATTTAGCTAGACTAGTATCGGGAAAAAGTTCTTACAACTTTGATGGTAATGAAATTCCAAGAACTGCTCGTCATTTAGCATTTCCTGTGAAAATATTTGATGTCTCTAAAAGATTTGAGGGCTTGTATGATCTAAAGTTTGTGCGCACTTTTCTACCACAGTCCCCTTATCCATTTGGTGATTTTTACTTAACCAAAAGGGTGTCACATGGTTGGTTGCCAAAACTAAGATGTTTGCGAACACTATCATTGTCAGAATACAAAAATATCACTGAGTTGCCTGATTCGATTGGAAATTTGGTGCTTTTACGGTATCTTGACCTTTCCTCTACTCCCATCAAAAAATTGCCCGATGCAACCTTTACACTTTACAATTTGCAAACTCTGAAATTAGCAAATTGTAAATTTCTTATCCAGCTTCCAAGACAGATAGCAAATTTGATCAATCTACGTCACCTAGATATTAGGGACACAAATTTGAATGAGTTACCAACACAAATATGCAAACTACAAGATCTTCGTACATTGACTTCCTTTGTTGTAGGAAGAAAAGATGGATTGAGCATCAAAGAATTAAGAAAATTTATTTTTCTACAAGGTAACCTTTCCATTTTGAAGCTACAAAATGTTGTTGATCCCATGGATGCATTTCAAGCCAACATGAAGAAAAAAAAGCAGATTGAGGAGCTTACGCTGGAGTGGGGAAGAGATCCACAAGATTCACAAATTGAGAAAGATGTACTTGAGAACCTGCAACCATCAACAAATCTAAAGAAACTCACCATCAGATACTATAGTGGCACAAGCTTTCCGAAATGGTTAAGTGAGTCTTCGTATTCTAATGTTATAGTCCTTCGTATCAGTGACTGCAACTATTGCTTTTCACTTCCACCATTTGGACAATTACCTTCTCTTAAGGAGCTTGTGATTCAAAGGATGAAAATGGTGAAGACAGTTGATGAAGAATTCTATAGCAACAATGAAAGATCCTCTTTATTTCAGCCATTTCCAATGTTGGAGAGTCTCCGGTTTGAAAAGATGTTAGAATGGGAGGAGTGGCTACCATTTAAAGGTGAAAATAGCGAATTTTGTTTTCCTTTGCTGAAGCATTTGAGTTTATCCCAATGTCCGAAGTTGAGAGGAAACTTGCCCAACCATCTGCCTTCATTAAAAGAGGTTAGTATCTCAAAATGCAACCAATTAGAGGCAAAATCATGTGATCTACACTGGAACACATCAATTGAATCTTTATCAATTAGTGAAGGGGGAAAAGGCTTGTTGTCTCTTCTTGACGAATTTTCGTATGAGAAGCTAAATATTTTCAAATGGGATAGCTTGTCGTGTTTGCCAAGAATGATACTAGGTGCCAATTGTCTTCAAAGGCTGACTCTTAACAATATCCCCTCTTTGATTTCCTTCCCAAATGATGGTTTGCCCACGTCATTGAAATCACTTGAGATTAGATATTGTGAGAACTTAGAATTTTTATCTCATGAAACGTGGCACAAATACACATCACTTGAATCTCTGAGAATTTCACATAGTTGTCATTCTCTTACGTTCATTACATTAGATTGTTTCCCTGCTCTTGAAACTCTATGTATCTACTCGTGTCCCAACTTGGAAGCAATTACTACTCAAGGTGGAGGGCCTGCTCCCAAATTAATAAATTTTTGGGTCCATGATTGTGAGAAACTTAGGTCACTTCCAGAACTGATTGATCTCCCTTCCCTTAAATACTTAAGTCTCTCTAAGCTTGCAGTGGTAGCATCATTGGGTGCAAGGTGTTTGCCTTCAAGTTTACAATCACTGACGGTTGGTGTTGGAATGTTATCATGTATGTCTAAAGATGAGCTAGGTTTCCTATTCCAACGCCCCACTTCTCTGTCTGAGCTTTGTATTAAGGGTGGTGGGGAGGCAGATGTTGTTAACATCATGCTGAAGGAGCCGTTACTGCCCACTTCTCTTCAAGGGTTGTACCTTGAGAGTCTTGATGGTTTGAAGTGTTTGGGAATGGAAGGAAAAGGGCTTCAACATCTCACATCTCTCCAGTCTCTCACCCTATGGCGTTTAGATGAATTGAAGTCGTGGGAAGGGAATGGGCTTCAACATCTCACTTCTCTCCGAATGCTTCGGATTGATGGTTGTGGAAGCCTTGAGTCTTTGCCAGAAGATCACTTGCCATCCTCTCTTGAATTATTGGAGATATACAGATGTCCTTTACTAGAAGAAAGGTATCAAAATCAGAAAGGGAAATATTGGTCTAAGATTGCCCACATTCCTGCCATCGAGATAAAGGATGAAGTGATAATATGAGTGGTTGGATGACTAGGAATCATCGAAAAGGTAAAGCCTTAAATTATTTCCACAAAGTAATATGTTTGGATGGTGAATTTTATAAATTCAAAAATTTTTAAATTTTTAGTATTTAAATTATTTTGGTTTTAATTTTTATTATTTTTAAAATATTTTATTTAGATGAGTCAATTCAAATTTTTAAATTTTAAATTGTAAGGTTGAATATGATAATTTTATTCCATCATAGTAAAATTAATTTTAAAAATATATTTATATGTTGAGATTTTTAAATTAAATTTTATAAAAATAAATATTAATCTATTTTTAAATATAATAATTTTAAAAATTAATATTAGATAATATTTAATAATTCTAAAAATTAATATTAGATAATTTGTAATAATTTTAAAAATATTTTTGAATATTCAATAATTAAAAAAATGAAGAGATAAGATAAAATATATAGGTGAAATAAAAAAAATAAATATAAAGAATTTTAAATTCTCTCATTTTTGGGAGAATTTGAAATTTTACTATTTTAAGGAATTTCACAAATGCTTAGATTTAAATTTTTTTATAAATTACTCATCTAAACAAAATATTTCACCTCAAAAAATTTGAAATTCTTTAAATAAATGAATTACCTTATATAACTTCCACATTCAAACACATCATTAAATTATTTCCAGAAAGTATGATGTCAATTTAATATCTCACGACTCTAACGCTTGACTGCTTAAATTATTATCTACCTAGCTATAAACTATTTATTTCAAACCATTTTTTGGTGTAATTGTGGTACATCGGATTTTGGTATTTCATTATGCTTAAAATTAAACTAAATCAAAATGGATTTATCAGAATGAATGGTAATTCATGCTATTAACTGAAAACCTATTTATTAAATTTAGTAAATTGGTAAGAGTTGTCCACAAGTTGGATAAAATGTCATTTTTAATAATTAGTTTAATATGTTTTTATTTTCTCTCTAAATAAGGTCATGTTCACTTTTAGTTCCTCTAAAAATAGAATCTCATTTTAATCTTTTTATTTATGAAAATGTATTTTGTATTGTATGATTCTTAATTTTAAAAACGAGAAAGCAAAAGAATATGACTTTTGTGAATAATAGGAACTGCAACTCACATTTTTATAAAACGAGGAATCAAAATGAGATGGTTTATTTTGAAGAGACTGAAAATGAATACTTCTATATTTATAACATATTTAATTCTTTTTTCAAAGTTTGGAACTTGAAACATGCTTAAGTAGATAAATCTTTAATTTAATTAAATTTTCACGTTTTGCTTGTCTCAAGAGACAGTAATATGATTTATTGATTTAGCTTGTTTGTAAAGTGGAGTATAAGAACAATTATATATTTAGTTTAAATTTGATTCCGTTTAATTATGTTTGATTAATTAGACTTTTTCTGGGTATGGTTAAATCACATAGTGAGAGATGTAAGTCTGAGGTAATATAAAGTCAATTTGATGAATAAGGGAAAAAAAAAAGAAAGAGAGAAAAAAAGAAAGAAGGAAGTGCAACAGTGTGTAAGTGAACCCTTAACTTTATTGAGTAGATTGGATAAATCAAAGAAAGAAAACAATGGAATCAACTTTCTAATTTCTTATCTTTTAAAAAATAGAAATTCCATCAAATACCCTATTTACAAAACTCAAATGGAGTTTCATTTGATGAAGTCGATTACTATCTCTTCTATAATTTAAAACTTGTCATTGAATAATGTAGTGTTGAGCTGATTTTATTAATAATATTGATCTTTACAGGCAGCCGACCGGGTGGTGGCCAAACGCCCTTACCCGTACAGTTTCAATTGAAGTGTTGCTTCATCGTTCCTGATTCCAATATAAGCTTCAAAGGTAGCCTAAAAGAATTGCAAAGAAATAACTCATTCATAATTTCAAAGACACTGTCATATGTCTTTTCAAGTAGGATAGGCAGCGAATTTAGACCGGAATAATTTATTTGTTTGCTCATGATAGTTAAAAGAATTTAGAGATTCAAGTTCAACCTAGAACATGGTCCAATAGATGATCACACAGATATGCTTCAATTTACATCAGAACTTGGTCCATAAAGCTCTGGCTGGTCAAAGTTATTTTATGTTTTCACCAAAGCAACTTTACATATCATATCTTTTATTCTTTTGGATACTTACATTGTCCTGGCAAGTGTAACTATCGCCAAATAATATATGGATATGTGAAAGATATTTTTCCATATGACAGTCACTGAAAGATATTTTTCACCATGACAGTCATTGAAAATTTTTTTTACTTATGATTGTACTGCGATCTTCTCTCTATAGACTCATCCGGTCAATCTCATTATGCAGAAGTAGCTTAAACTATTAAGAACCTCAGAGAATACAAGGGGTGCAACAACGAAAATTATCAATGTGTTCGAAAATCTGACAGTAAATACTAACATTCTTTGTGATGAATAGAATTTAATCTTCGTCAAACCATGTCAGGACACTGATTTCATTATCTAAATTTGAAATTACATAAATAAAATAAAAATTTTGAATGTCCATTGTCATGCAACTTCAGTCAATAGTAAAATGCCATAATTTTGAGAAGTATGAACTTTTCCAATATGAAAAAATCATTCGAGTTAAATATAACCAAAGGACTTTAACTGCAAAAAATTCACAAAGCCTCATTGTCAAGAATTACCTTATATCCTCATAAGTTTCATATGGCCCAATAGTGACATCCAACTTCGAGTCCTGAACAGAAAATAGAAGGTAAAAAATAGTTTTACGATCCTAAAATTTATCACAATAGAAACACATCACACTCACAGTAAGGATACTAACATTAACATACATAATTTAGAGAAAGCCTATATTTTGCCCAAACTGATTACTGATAGTAAAGCCTATCCAAGAAAGCATAATTTAGTCAGCCAGAGGCAGTTAAGAGAAACAATCATGATGTTTTCTATTTTGTTTTACAAAGGAAACAGATTTAAGTTGGTAAGTAAAGGCTACACAGGAGAGAAAAGAAATAAATATGGAAGAAAAGAGGACCAAATATCATGAAAATGTCATAACACGATCATGAAAGTAGTGTAGCATATCCATGTTTACGCGCATGACTAAGAGAATACAGACACGCAAAATGGAACCCTGATAAAAATTAGCATTCTTTGAATAAACTTTCCCATTGACAAACTAACTTATTATACAATAGAACAACCAAGAGGAGCAGCATGGGCATCGATAAAAGAAACACTTACGAGCAGGGATAGTGGATGCGTGACGGTGGGAGACAGAATGTGTGAGAGAGAGTAAATCAGAACGTAGGAAAGAACGCCAGAGACAACGGCACCACAGAAGGCCTCCACGGGAACAACACATCAATGGCTGAACAGCGAGAGAATGAGAGTTTTTCCAAAGAGAAAACACTGACCCAGAGGTTCAACCACAAAAATCTGACATTTTAAGAATTTTTTTTTTCAAGCTTAAATATGTTTTTAATCCCTCAAATTTAGGGTAAATCTATTTTTAATCTCTCAAATTTAAAATTATTGTTTTTAGTTCTTGTAATTTCAAAAAATCTTAATTTAGTCTTTATATTCAAATTTTGTCCCTATTAGTGAAAATATCACATTAAATCTGGTTGATATTGCATAATTGTCTTAATTAGTCACTTTTAAATATGTTATTGGTGACTAATAACATATTTAAAAGTGACTAATTAAGACAATTATACAATATCAACCAGATTTAATGTGATATTTTCACTAATAGGGACACTAATAGGTAGATTTTATGCAATAATGTGTGATAAATTTTTTAACAAAATTTGAATATAGGGACTAAAACAAGATTTTTGAAAATTACAGGGATTAAAAACAACAGTTTTAAATTTGAGAGACCAAAGACAAATTTATCTTAAATTTGAAGGACTAAAAACATATTTAAGCCTTTTTTTAATATATCAAATTTTTTATTTATTTATTTAAATAACCTGGGTCCAAGATTATTTACGCAAATAACCCGTTTTTGGACTTTTGTTTTTTTTTTCAAATTTGTTATTTTTTTCAGTTTTTAATATTCAGATTTAAAAAAAAATTATAATGAATTTTTAAAAAATTTATTTAGTTTTTATTTTTATTTTAGATTATAAAAATCTATTTAAAATAAAATTTAAAGAATAAAATTTAATAAAATTAATTTTAAATAGAAATTTAAATAAATGAAAAAAATTATGATAAATCACAACTTTAAATAAAAACAACTTTAATTGAGATGAACAACTTTAAATAAAAACAAAATAACAACAAAATAGGAGATCGAATAAAAAGAACAACAATATAATTCCAATCCACGAAATTACAATCTAACTTTAATGATGTCTATGCCCACCAGTTCCACACCTTGGAGGTTGTCGGTTCCTTGTTGGGTTTCGACGACCAATGCGTGGTTGTTATGGTTCAACTTGCTCCTCATCATGTTCTATATTAACAGTATCGGCTGGATTTGACGAACCACTTGCATCGACCTCAGAGTGATAAGAAGAAAATGAAGGAAAATTCATGCTTTGCATGTAATTATATGCATTTTGTGGCGTGTGTACGTCGACGCCGAAAAGATTGCTCATGAAGTCCCCTGCTGAAGTTGTTGTTGATAGTGGGGTGTACATGGATTGTTTATAGTGCGTATGAAATGGTGGATTAGACTAGGGATGTTGTTCCACACTATAAGGTGGGTGGTTATCTCCAGCCATTGGGAATGTTGTTCCAGTTGTTGTTGGGAGTTGTGTACTAGAAGTGGATGCATGAGATGAAGAATACTAGCTACAAAGAAATAATTTAGAATTAGCACGAAACCATTGCAAATACTCAGAAGTGTGTTGGGGAGGCCCCTGAAGTGGTTCCCAAAAAATAACATGTTTGCGTCTGTCTTTCCAAATGAAAATCCAATTTGCATGTTGTTCAGCCCAGTTGGTGTCGCTATGTCTTCTCATGTCTATTTCATGCATTTTATCAAGATTATGAGCTTCATTGGGGATTGATTTCCATAAGCCAAATTGCAATTAATGAAGTTAAAACAGTACAAGAAGTACATATTCTAGAATCATTAAAAGCACGTGTTGGCAGTGAGGACTGAAATTCCTTATATGGCATCCATAAAAACTGGAAAAGAAAAAGGTTTAGGGTATGAATCAATTGAGTATAAGTGAGTATGTTTGAGAGAATTTTACATTGTATTACCTCGTTATGGTTCATGTTGTCATATCTTAATCTGTAGCCAAGTAAGTCTCCATGGGGCGTGCTTGAAAATCTTAGCCCTCTTCCTGACTACCTAAAAAATTTGTACATTGGGGATTAGTTGTTCGATGTATTAAAGTGGTATAAAAATTAATCCATACCTCGATGCTAGCGGAAATGTAATATCTCGTTGGACTCTTGGTTGGATGAAGGGCATGCGATACCAAGCCCAAGATTGTAGAAGCAAAGAACATCCACCCATTTTCTTTGACGATGGATAGATTGCCTACACATTTTTCTGTACAAATGTGTCAAACAAGTAGAACCCTAACTATATCGTCCTGCACATTCCAAGTCAGCCAATAGTAGTAAATACATTAAGTGAATTCTGTTACCTGACTTATCTGGCATAATGACACCACCATCAACCCTAAGATATATGTCCTACAATGTTAGAGCAATTGTTGTTCAATGGGTTCATTTGGTAGTGCAATTGTATGGTCTCTTAACCATTTTAGTTTTATGCTTGAGTCAACTAGAGTTTCCCCTTTCGGAGGTACGAAGCCTAACAACTCGTAACACAATTCATCCTAGTCAAAGAAAGTTGGTCCTGTGACTGGTTTGCCATCGATCCTTAAACCTAATTGTAGTGCCACATCTTCTAAAGTGACCATGCACTCACCAACTAGGAGGTGAAAAGTATGTGTCTCAAGTCTCCACCTCTCCACCAAAGACGTTATCAAACAATCATCGATTTTAAAATGTCTTATTTTCGCAACCTCGCCAAAGTCAGCAATCTCCAACAAATGCTCAATTCTTGGGTCAGGTGTAGGCATGGAATGATAGTAAGATTGAATCACTTGATCACTTGTTGTCTGTGAAAATGGTAGAATTGAAATGTTAGTAATGAATAATATTAGTTGTAAACATTATGTAATATATATTAACTTACCATAAGATGAGTTTCATTTGACCCATGGAGGTGTTGTTTCCACAACATAGTTGAAGATGAAGAAAACATTCTTGAAAAACAATATCAACGAAATTAAAGAGTGCAATAACTGAAAAGAATTGATCTTTTGTATCTTTTTTTAAGTTATTTTCATTTTAATGATGTAACTGTTATAATTAGTGTACTTAATATATAATGACATTAATAAATTACAGTTTTAAATTTTCTATATTTAATAAATTTAATTTAAATAATAAAATTAATTTTATAATTCTAAAATTTAGTATAATAAATAAGTTTTAACATTTTCTTTATTTTTAACATAAATTTAAAATATTATACAAAATTTTATAATTTTATAATTTTATATATAATTCTGAAAATTATA